GTAACAGGTCAAATTAAAAGGCTAATATAAACATATATTTTTTGGTAAAAACTTACAACCTGTCTCTTTAAGAGGGATCTTTCTGGCCGACCAACCTAAAATGAAGAGAGGTCGATAAAACCGAAGTGAAGGGAGAAGCAATGCCTCTGTTTTGGGAGGAAAGAAGAGTGTTAAAGATAACCTGGGATTGGATAATAATGCCAAGAGGGTTCTTTTGCTATTTTTTTATTTGTGTTTTTGTTTCTGCTCTTGCATAGATGAAAAGGGAGAAGTGCTACGTGCAACTTTCAAAAGCCAGAAACGGAATGGCAGCTACATTTCTAGTGATCATTTAGGTTATGGATACTGACATCATAATCTGCAATACAAAATACTTTCTCACTCTCTTTTACCTTTTCCCTCTGAATATATGGGTTATGGCTGTGGGTTAAGGTTAAAAAAATGTTTAATGTTACAAACCTTTCTAGTCGATATTGATAATTATTGATTATCATATTCGAAAGTAATCTTTGAAAAGAGGTCATCCCTGTCACCTGCCTTGCCTAGTTTTTTGTGTGAGAGGTTAAGAGGATAAGGCCAAGCCAGAGGACTTCCCTTTGCCTACATCCCCCAGAAGTTGGTGCGTTCTGGAACAGTGAAGTCACAAACCATTTAATCTGACATTTCTTTTATTAATATTGATCAAGTGTCTATCTGGACATATTTTCATTTTGATTTATTGCCCAGCCCTAATATAGGAATCTGTTCTCTTGTCAAGGGTGTTTATTTAGGGTTTGTTTTTTTTTGCGACTATTTGAAATTCTTTTAAAATGTTCAATACTGAGAGAATTCTACAGTATATAGATAATATTAAAATTTATTTTTCTGTAATATTTGTACATCTTTCAATAATTATTAAACATTTATCTGCTTATTTGTGTAAGCTCAATAGAAGCCTGTTAGTATAGGCACACCTTTAACCTCATGTTAGCAGCCCTTTTCAGACCTAAGATGCTTTGGGAATAGCTTTTATCTTTTTGAGGTAAAATTCTAATGAAAACATTATATTTCAGGAATATCTGTCTTTTTTTTTTTTTTTGCTAAATTATGTCGCTAACCTCCTTTTAAGATTATGTGTACATTTGGCCCTGTACTCCATTTAGAGTTTAACCCTATTGTGTTGTTTTTTTTAAAACAACTAATTCAAATCATACCGAAGAAAAACCAACTGAGACCATATTCCAAAATGCGTCCGTATGCATTGGGATGTGTGTGTGTGTGAGTTTGTATGTGTGATCACAGCTCAATCACATGATGCGTCACATTGCCTTGTCTGTTTCCATACCCACTCTCTTTCACTTCCTTTGGGTTACATCATGTCTCTGTTTCTCTCGTTTTTTTCTCCAGTCCTCTCAGTTTTTATAATCTCTTCTTTCCTTTTTAGACCCATTTCTTCTTTCCTACATCTTATCTCCTCTATCATCTCTCTGTGTTACCCTCCCTCTTTAGACACTACCCCCGAGTTGCATCTGTCTTAGATCAAAATATCTCTTCCTTTCATTTCTCCCATGTTTGAAAATAGAAAAATGAAATGTAAATTAGTTGTGGTTAAACTATAAATGATATTACCGGTATTTCAATCGTCTTTTGGTTATTAGTCATTTAGTTGAATTCTTCACTCTTCATTTTATAATCATTCTGTGGACATTTTTCTTGCACTCCATACTTTTTCTCCAATTTCAAGAAAAGGTTCACACTGGTTGACTTCTGATATTAGGTTATTTGTTTAACAGTCTTAGCACACCTGGATAAACAAACAATTACTTATTTGCAGGACTGACTGAATGCTTAGTAGGTTATTCAACTCTTTAATTCGAGTGTAGAGCAAGTTTAGGTGCTACTGTTCAAGTTTTGTTAGGACATTAGCTAACCTTACCTTATGCTGAAGACAGAAGATTGTTTTAAAGTCAAGGCTAAGCTTGGTTTCCTTTACAGAAACTGCTCTTCCTTCCCAACTTCTGCGAAACTTACTCTTATCCAAATGACCATTCTATCCCTTTTAGACTATGGAGACATTATATATAGGGTTGTTTGCGAGTCCAGTCTATCAAAACTTGACTGTCTTTATCATTCCGCCATCAGGTTTGCTTTAAAGGCTCCTTTTAATACACACTATTGCACTCTGTATTCATCTGTCAACTGGCCCTCCTTTCACAATCAACGCAAAATTCACTGGTTCATCTTCATTTACAAAACCGGCCGCTCACCACCTTATTTAGGTCACCTGCTGCAGCCAAAGCCTGTCACTTACAACACCCGGTCGTCTCTTCATCTAAAATTACTACACTACTTTTGGTCTTGCTTCTTTTCAATCTGCTGCTTTTCGTGACTGGAACGCTCTGCAAAATATTCCTAAACTGGATATACTAATTTCAATTTCATCCTTCAAAACAATTACATCATCCTTGTTCACAGACACGTGCAGCTGCTTCTTTACATGATCATTTTTGGGTTGTCTGTTTTTTTTTTTTTATTGTATTTTATATATGTATTACTAATGTATTGTATTTATTTTAGCCTTACTTCCCTTTTCCTAAGCGGTTACTCCACTTGTCAGGCGGCCATTGTAAATAAGAACTTTTTCTTAATGACTTGCCTGTAAAAATAAATGTCCATCCATCTTCTGACACGCTTAATCTCAATTGTGGTCACGAGGGGTGCTGGTGTGTATCTCCAGCTGTCAATGGGCGAGAGGCGGGGTCCACTCTGGACAGGTCACCAGTCCATCACAGGGCAACACAGAGACAAACAGGACAAACAACCATTCACTCACACACTCACACCTAAGGAGAATTTAGAGAAGCCGATTAACCTAACAGTAATTTTGTGGACTGTGGGAGGAAGCCAGAGTACCAGGAGAAAACCTACGCATGCTAAGGTTTAACATGCAAACTCCATGCAGAAAGACCCCGGGCCAGGAATCAAACCCGCAACCTTCTTGCTGCAAGGCAGCAGTGCTACCCGATGCGCCACTGAGGAGCCCAAAAAAAACAAATGTATAATTAAATAATAACAATTTAGCCAAATAAAGGCACAATGACATAAATTTTTATGTTTTACAAATTTTTCAGGAAGTCAGATGACTAAAGAAGAGCCAGATTTGATCATATCGTTTATTAAGCTCCAAAGATGAATAGCTAACAACAACAAAAAACAAAGTTATGTGTAAATCTTAAAGGTATAGTGGAGTTTGGTGTTTTTCTGGGTGGATCATCAAAATAAGTGGTCCTCCTAATTGTCAATAATTCTTGTGATATGTTTGCGTAAGGCCATCCTACGTGTTTGTCCTCATCTTCACTTACTGGTGGCGACATTTTTTTTATCTTTTGGTAAGTAAGCTTGTATGAGCGATGCAATGCAGCAACTTTTAAGCAGAGCGTGCACGAGGAGAAATGGTTCATGCATGTTCTCGCATGCGTTTAATAGGTGTTCCCTCTCAGGAGCGGGTACAGGGTTGTGTGATTTTTTTATTTTTAAAGTGGAGATGGCGGGTCTTTTTAAAAATCCTCCACTATACCTTTAAAATAGTTTGTACTAGATGTGAGTGTGGGGCCCACCAGGGGTTTCTCTCACCATAGCACTTCAAAGAAGCTGTAAATGATTTGATATGACAGGAGGAACTTATATTTTAATTTGTGTCTTTTTACTTTCCGTCCATCCAGAGAATGAAAAGCACTCAGAAACGTGCAGCAATGTGTAGAGGTTCTCTTATATTGCTTCAGTTTTTCGGATCAGTGAACACTTTATAATCAGACAGCCATAGGTTACCTGGGCTGTGTGAGAAAGGGATAAGGTTGGGTTAGGGTTAGAATTTATAGTTGGATGAGAAAACCAGAGTCGGCCACCACTTGAGTTCATGTCAAAGGCGTTCTATAAGGATGAGGTCAGGAGTCCCGCACATTGGAACAGCCAAAAGCATTTCTCAGGTGGTGTGACCCAATATACTGTGTTTCATTACTTTTCTAAAGAAATTCATCAAAAGAAACAAAAACACATGATGAAATTTTTTGTTACTAATAGTGGCAAAGCAATTTATTAGGGTTAGGGTATTTTCCTTAATTAATAAAATATGTGTAATTAAAAATGAGCTTATTTTGTTTAAGGTTATTAAGAAAGAAAACCAATGTAGAATAAATCTGTACAGGCGTAAATTATTTTCATCAAAAGTTTCTAATCTCATGCAACATTCAGGTTTGTTATGAAGGTTCCCAAGGTTTCCTCAGGGCAGAAAAGAAATATATACCCTTCAGCAGGTTCTGGGTCTGTCCCAGGTCCTGCTCCCAGTGCGATATTTCTGGAAAACCTCCACAGGGAGTCATCCATGGGGCAGTCTTATCACATGCCAGAACTCCTTCAGCTGACTCCAAATGCTGTACTCCTAGCATTCCCCCTTTGTCAGTTTGACAACTGTGGCCTGAAACACAGAAGCGCTGACTCTTCATCCTGACATGCACTTTACTGAGAACTGCTCCAGTGACCACTGAAGATCATGGCTGTTTGTGGAAACGACAAGTAGCATCAGGTCACTAATGTTCCACTGCAGATTGCAAAAGATCAACATCCTTCCTTGAAACACGTTTTTGATCTTCAAAGATTCCAAATAAGGAGCACTAAAGTGCTTCTGCACTCTGTAAAAACTAGCACATGCAAATAGTGGGCATGCTGCAGGTGATCTGCAAAGACCGTGTGTGCAATAAATAACGTGCAAAACCAGTTCAGACGCTTTAATTTTAATAAAGAAATGCATAAAGATTGTAAGGATTTTTTCACTTTTAAAGGTATTAGTCTTTAACTAGCTGGTTTGCTCTTTGTCAAATTGTTTTTATGAGTTTCCTTCTCTGCATGATAAAGAAGTTTTCAGAATGTAAACTAACTTGTATTTTCAGCCACAAACACATAAGATGAATAAGCTCTGTTACTGTAATAGAAATGAAAACCACAGTGGATCTCCGTCTGTGCAGTACACAGGTCCGATCCCAGCTGAGCGGGCGGGTGAGCTGGCCATGGGGGGAGGTCGCAGCGAGACCTCGGCTCTGAGCGGGGCAGGAGAGGCCCGGGGCTTGACCACTACCCAGAATTCCCAGCGACCCAACGCCTGCTGCTTTTGCTGGTGCTGCTGTTGCAGCTGTTCATGGTAAGAAACAAGCACACAACTACAAGCACACAACTACAAACCAATAAAATAGCGAGGTAGGAGAGAGATACAACAGCTCTTCCAGTCATGAATAAGAACAGCTCAAATATTCCCGTCAGCAGTCTATCTGTAACTGTAGCTGTTTGTCAGCAGGATCAAGAATCTGCACGTGCAGCTGATATTCCAGTGGAAGAAGTAGTTAATTAGCCTCTTTAGAAACCTCCCTGTCAAAATTTTAGACTTACTCAAGAGTATTATTCATGGATTATTTTAATATTATAATGCTATTATTGCTGCAAGTGCAGAACAGAGACTTCATAAGCTTACTTTTATTAGAAGAGAAAGGGTGTAAATCACACCAATCATAGCGATTCCATTTACCGGTACTATCAACTTCCTGCCCAACGATTGGATTATTTTCGATACTCAAGAATACACCACGATACGATTCAATTCGATTAATTGGTTAATTTTTTTGTACCTTACAGGCTAGATAATGTTTCAAATTTGAAATAAGTAAATTAAAGCTGTTAAGTCAAAGTCAAAAAGCCTTTATTGTCATTATATTCTGCAACGGATACAATGAGATTTTGGGACTTCCATATCAGCTACCATAAAATAAATAAAAATAAAAGATGAAAAATATATATATATATAAATATATTAAAAGGAAACAACAAATAACAGAAGTTGCAAAGTTGTGCTCCACCTAGACCTATGAAAACCTCATTCACTGTGAAATAATAATGCCTCTATGTATACAAGAGTGTGTGTCTGCAAGCGGAAAGAGGGTAGTGGCTAAAGGAAGCGAGGTAGAAGGACAAAATAGGTTTTACACACAGGAGCAAAAGGATAAAACTAGACAGGAGGAAAAAAAACCTAAAACGATACTCTTGCGGACGTGTCGATCCATCGGATCGTCGGCTGTTGGATCGATGCATTGATACAAAACGATTATTATTTACACCCCTTTTGAAGAGGTGCACTGGCTGCAGTTTTCTAGACCATTTTGAATTTTCTAAGAACTACATTTACTAGCATGCAGATTTATAACAGTTCTTGAAATCTAAGAATATTACACAGTGTGAAGGAAAACATTAATTTTTACAAAACAATAAAGTGAGTTTATTTACATGTCTTTAAATAAACCCTGATTCTACCACACTGACAAAAACTCTTAGGCCAAAGCTGCTTTGTGTGAAACTGAACTGTGACTTTAATGAATTATATCCAACCAAGATCAAGTCACAGGGGTAGAAGATCCGGAATGAAAATCCCGACGTCTCTTCCGCCAATGACAAAGTCCAGCTGATTCTAAGGTGTTTCTTGCCCAAAAGGGAGGCTTAGGCTCCCGTTCTGGGTCCGTGTTGGACTCTTCCCCCAGTCAGACATGCCCTGTACACATTGAGAGGAATCCATTATAGGTTTTTTTTTTTTTTTTTACGGCACTAGTGGCTCATTTTTATGAACGGTAGGCTGACAGAAAAGGGGGTATAAGAGACATGCGGCAAAGGACCAGAGGTCCTTTGAGACATACATGTCTGCTGCAAAGAGAGAGGTTGCCGCATGACATGCAGCAAATGACATATGGCCACATG